CTTTTGAATTTGTTAGAATTACACAACAAATACAAAAAAAATTCTCCATAGGAAAAGGTTTTCTACTCACCATTGTTAGCTGCTAACATGTCAATCATACGGCCAGGTGTGCAAACAATAATTTCAGCACCTCTTTTGAGTTCAGCTATCTGATTTTAAAACACAGTAAACAAACTATTAATTTTTTGCTTTGTGATTTTTTTTTTTTAACAAATTTTTAAACAGTCTGAAACTTTTAAGGATTGTATCTGAGAATTTTCAAAATCAGTATGTTTAAGGCTAAGTTACTTGAAAATGCTTAAGCTTTTGCATTACTACCACTGCCACAGAGAAAGCCCAGAATGAAGGCTGCAAACGTCCTGGATTTATGGGAGAGAGAAAGGAAATTAACACTAATATTAAAGCCCAAGAACTCTTTGACAAGGAAGGCGGGTGTTTTGTGTACCTGTTCACTGATTCCTGTCCCTCCATAAACACAGACAACTCGAAGCCCAAGTGTCTTTGAGAACTTCTTGCACTCCTTGGTAATCTGCAAAGCCAGCTCACGAGTAGGTGTCATGATGACAGCTGAAAAGCAAGGCACTTTCATCATGCACTGGAATGCTGTTGTAATTTACACAATAAAAATTCATCTTTTGTAATGATGTTTACAGCTATTTACTTCCTATTTTTAAGAATGTAACTTCAAGAAACAGACGATTGAGACAATAAGAGAATGGGGTGGAGATCTGGTCCAAGTGCCAAAATCAAAGTAAGGTCTCACAGAGATACATGGACATGGGAGTGCTCCTGAAACAACATTAGACAGCATTAACTAAAAAAAAAAGACACTAATTAATGGGCAGTGGCAAGCACTTCCCCCAGGAGAAGAACTGAAGACCATCTAAAGCATATACTTGAGGTTGTACTCATTTAAACAGTGACTCTGAAAATAAGATCTTTGTACCTATGGGACCTTCTCCTTCTTCCAATGCTCTCTGATCCATGATGTGCCTGAACATGGGCAACAGGAAGGCGATGGTTTTTCCACTTCCCGTTTTGGCAATGCCAATCAAATCCCGTCCGTTCATGATTGCTGGGATAGCCTGGGTCTGAATGGGAGTGGGCTTTTCATAGCCATGTCTTAAAGGAAGGGAAAAAAAAAAAAGGTATTTTAAGAGCAAAAATACAGATTAAGATAAGCAGCAAAACCATGATGCAAATGGCAAAGAATAGTTAATAACAATAACTCAACACTGGGTGATAAAAACTCTGATGACCATATATGTAATAAACATGGACATGGGGAATTATGAAACAAAGAAAAGGGTTTTTCTCATGAACGTAGAACACAGTGAACAAAATCAAGCATAATATAGTTCATAAAGTGCTTGCTTACTTTTTGAGGGCAGTGAGAATCTTCATGGAAATACCACACTGTACCCAGGTTTTTATTGGTTTGGGGCAGCCTTTTCCCTTGACTGTAATTCCCTCCAATTCCAGCCTGTACACGTTCACCTCTGAAATAGAGTTTGCATTACAACAGAGTCAAACTTGACACTTCCTTCCTACCTTGATTAAACTATTCTTGCTTTGTCTCTTAACATGAAACACTGATTTTATCACCATCAGAAAATCAGCTTTTTGTTTGTTACATGTAAACACAGGAGGAAGGTGGAAAGGACTCAGGTAAATTTTCCTCCAGTGAAAGCTTCATCAATAATTATGAGTTATCAACAACAGTGATGTAAATGATTCAACATTTTTCTATACCAAGTTGCTTCAAATGTTCTTTATATTCCAAACCCATCTGGTGCTCCTTTGAAATGCCCCATTCTTTCCTCTAACAGTACCCAAGGTGTGCTGGTTGCATTTGTCTTTACCTTCCTGAGTCATTTTCGCCAGTTCTGGCACTTCAACGTAGAAGTTCTTCCTGAAAGGTTCATATTCTATCTTTCCATGATCCACTGGTTCCAGCAGCTTCCTCTGCTTGGTCTGATAGCCAGTCAGGGCAGTCTGAAGATCAACCTCCTCCTCCTCTGAGGAATACTGTGGAGATCACCGATTGTGTGTACATCAGTATGAAGGAATGGGCTTTTTAAAGTTCATTTACACATGAACTTTATTCAGAAACAACAGGTTCTCCTCGCTGTGTTACACCCACGTGCCCACATCCCTAACAACCCTTCAGGCTCTCACACAACCCCAGGGAGTTAAGAAAAGCCACGTTGTGTTTCCACAGCAGAAACACAAGACATTTCCAGTACCTCCATTGCATCTTGGTCATTCTCCATGAGCTCCCCTTTCTTCTTTTCTGACTCTGCAGCTGCTTTTTTGGTTGTCACCACGGTTACCACCTTGGTAACAGTTGGTCCAGACTTCTACAAAACAGTGAAGAAAATGACTGCATTTTATATAAAACAAAAACCATACTCTATAAAATATACAGAATGTTTGTACTTGTGTACAAGTGAAATTTTAGCAGAATAATGCTTGAGAAAACAGCTTCATAAAAACACCAGGAAACTGAATTTAAGGCAAATAGGCTTTAAATGCATCTAATTTCATGCTTTTTTTGCATTTCCCCCCCATTTTGCTATTAAAACACAAAGTTCTCTTTATCTTTTAAAAGTCAGAAATCTCAACTGGTGATTTTACCTTTTCACTCCCACCTCCACCTTTCACGCTTCTCATATTGAACTTCTTGACCTCTTCTTTTACTTCTTCCATGTAAGCATCCAAAGGATCTAACTCCTCATCTTCAACCTCATTGCCTTCTTTTTCTCCTTCTGCAGTTTCCTCTTCATCATCTGATGTGAGCAGGAAAGATGAGGATGAAAGACAGGGAAACATAAAAGTGCTCAGATGTGCCAAATTATTCCACTACCCAAATAACAGTTCAGTACTATTGCTACATAGTTTTTTCGTCATACAAATCCCTCCAGTTGTTCAATCAAAAATGAATCTTAGACCATCTAAAGCCATGATCAGATTTAGGCTGGTTTTTATAGTTTACATTCCGAAGACTAATTTAATGATTTAAAGATAACGTAATAAAAATATTATTACAAACAGAAGTATTCTGTTATACATAAACATTTAAATACCATCATCATCTTCTAAACTCCATTTTTTGCCCTGCTTCATCTCTTCAATTTCTTTTTTCAGCTCTCCTATGTTCTCCATTGCCTTCTTGCGTTGTTCTTCCCTCCATTTCTCCACTCTTTCCTTTCGCTTTCTCATTTCTTCTTCAAGTTTGTTCTGATCGAAATTCTATGATAAAAACCAACCAAACAGTGAAAATTAATGGCCACTGAGTTTAGTCTGTGCTTCTTCAAACAAACACAACCATTGCATGAGCATGCTGTAGAACACTGGGCATCCACAAACTCCCTGGTTTCAATCCTTTATCTTTTAAACCTGTAAGTGTTAAAAGCCTCTACCTCGGTGGCCACGGCATTTGTAGTAGCATCTTTATCCTTCTCTTCTTCCTTGTCATCTTTGTCTTTTTTCTTTTCTTTGGAAACTTCTACTCCTTCTGTCTTTTCTTTAGATCTTGATCTGAAAGGTAAGATCAGAGGTTTCTTAGAAACTCGCAGCTTTTCTTAAGGGGAGGATACACAAGTGCTGGACAGAAACAGAAATATGACCAACCTGTACAGGTTTATGTTTCCAAACACCTCACAGAACACACTGCTTCCCAGATAATCTTCTCATGTCATGGAACTATTTTCTCTAAGTACCAGAAATGTGGAATCCATTGCTGTTCATGTGCTTTGGCACCATTACCACTTATGGACTTCCCACTCATTTTACAGTAGAGTACCATTATAACACTGCTTGCAATTATGTCTACTCCACTAAGAGTGTCTACTCCACTAAGATACATTGAAAAGAACGTAACCTGCAGTTTTCACACATTTCTAAAGTCAGGAACACAATAATACCTGTTCTCTGTTTTCCTGCTCTTGCTTGGACTGGAGGATCGAGACCGTCTCCCTCTACTCCTGCTCCTCGAGCGCCTCCTCTCCCGGCTCCGGGATCGTCTCCTCTCTCGGCTCCGCTCCCTTTCTCTGCTCCTTGAGCGTCTGACACGGAACAAAATTGTATTTATTTACCCCATGATCACAGTGTAACTTTAGTCTGCTACTGAGGAACAAGTTGTAAAAGGAATTTACCAATCATCAAGACCATTAAGAACTTACAGACTCCAGCACCAGCAGCTAGAAAGGATTTAATAAGCAAAAAGCCTTGAGCACAGTGAAATCTATACAGCCCTCAGCAAAGTGACTGATGAGAGGGAAGAACATCAAAATCCAGCTGACTGGATGGCACTTTGATCTACTTCAACTGGAACTCATGTCCTACCTTTGGCGCTTTCTGTCCCGCGACCGGGACCTTCTCTTGTCCCTGCTGCGGGACCTCTCCCGCCTGCGATCCCGATCCCTGCTCCTGGAGCGCCTGTCGTCCCGTTTGCCCCTTTTGTCCGACGGGGAACGACTCCTGGAGCGGCTCCCGGAGCGCCCACGAGACGCGGAGCGCTTCCGATAATGCCTGAGACACAAATGCACGGAGATGAATGTCAGCACAAAAACCATTTGCACCTAAAGGATATTGGTCATATTTAGGTGAACAAGCAAAAAAAAAAATTATCTTTATTTCTTAGGCTTTTAAAATTTCTAAACATTTGTAACGGTGTCCTATCCCACCCACCACTGCCCCAGCTCGTTTGGAGCTCCGAGAGTGCCCAGCTCTGCACTGAATCACTAATTTGAGCCCAAGCTGGTGGGTAAAATTTCAGCTCATCTGCCTCTGTCGGTGTAAACTCCCGTTACGGGTCCGGGGGTTGTGACACGGCACTGACAACCCGTGTGGGGGCTGCTGTGGCAGCTCTAGGGTTAAAACCCGATGGTTTGGTCAAACCGGGAAACACACAATGTGCCCCGCAGCACCGGCACGTTGCGGGATCGGTGCGAAGCCCGAGCGGTGCGAGCAGCTCCGGACCAGCCGGAGCACACGGTCCCATCACTGCCGGGCTGCCCACAGCGCCAGCCCGGTGCTCGTACCGGCTGCGAGCGGCACAACACCCGTGACCCCGCAGAAACTCCAGGAGCACACGGAGAACGCCTCACCCACGTTCGAACCGCTACGTGGCGAACCGCGCCGCTTTAGAGCGACCCCTCCAAGGCCGCGGGGCGGTCTCGGGGCAGCTCCGGCCCTCGCAGCGCCGGCCCCGCGGCCCCTCAGCCCCGTCCCGGAGCGCCGCGGCCCCGGCGCTGCCCTCAGACCGGCGCCGGGCCCGGCCCCTCCGCGGCACCCTCAGCGCCCGCCCCGCCTTTGTCCCGCCGCGTCCCCCAGCCCGCCCCGCGCTCCCCGGGCCGGCCGCGCTGCGGGTGCGGGGGCCCGGCCCGCGATGGCGCCGCCCGCCCCCTCACCTGGACTCGCGGCCCATGGCGGCGGCGGCGCTCCCGCTACACGGCGGCCGCCATCCCGCGCCGCCCGCGGGCAGCCCCGCCCCTTCCGCCCGGCCCCACAGCGCCCCCCGCGGCCGGAGGGCGCAGCAGGGCGGTGTCACACCGTCAGTGCCAGCATCACCAACATTGAACACTCGCTGCTCCCCGCAGCGCTCGGGAAACGCTGTTCTGGCAATTTATTTGTATCGCGGTTGGGGCATGTAAATAGGGAATCGGGGCGCGCGTGTAACTCCGGAGTAAAGCTCGTTATTTACAGATCTCGGCCTTAATTTCAATTTGCTGAAAACTCCCGGCTAGTGTAAACAAATGTAAAGCTTCTGAATCAGTATCATGCTAATAGGCCCAAGTCAGAATCTTCTGCAGCCCTGTACATCTGTAAAGTAATACTCACTGAAGCATAATGTTAACACCCCCCCCCCCTAAAATGGTCAAATCAAAATCTAAGATTCTTGTTTTCAGGCCACAAACAGACACGAATCTCATTCAGGAGTCAGAAATGATGCACTAGAATCACAGCTTTAACAGAAAATAATGGATGGAGCACAGGGCATTTACTTTAGAGAGGTATAATCAAACACTTCTGCTCCCTAAAAAAATTTCTGCAAATACCAATGTCAAATAGGTGTTTTACCGTGCTAAAAAAGACATCAGCCTACATTTCCTGAAAGTCCAGATTCTCAACAGAAAACTACAAGATGAAAACACTACGAAATTTAGCTTCAATAGAGATTTTTAGAGATTATCACTGTTTAAGTTGACTATTTGGAATGACACTTCCTTCCTCCCACTGCGCAAAAATTCATTCATTTCAAGTGACTGAAAACAAAACAGTTTCCCTTGTAAGTTTTAAAACCACTAGAGCAAAGATTTGATGTTGCAGGTTGGGTGCCAATATATACAACTCCCTCATGAGGTGAACTGTTAACATCAAGAAAAGGCATCAGAAAGCACAGGGATGAGCTGCACTAGGCTTAGGAGGCTGGAAACTCATAAACAGGCGAGATTAATTTTCTGCCTTCTTACTTGTTGATTAATGACATTCGTAAGCACCAGGATTTTCTTGGTGTTGGTTTTGCTTAGCTCTTTCCCACAATAACCACCAAATGAAGTTAATCACAATCACAGCAAATAACATAGAGCAAGGCAAGGATTATAACAACAAAGTGGCAAGTTTCACCAACGTTCTCCAGAAGCAGCTACTTGGCTTGACATTCTGACCTGGAACACTTGAAGAGAGTACAGGGGTTTCTTTTATTTAGAGCTTTCTTTTAAAAAAATGGGAACACCACAAAATGAGCAGGTCTCATTAGATACAGTCATACAGCATATACACAAATATATGGTTCTGCTGGAGGGAACTCTCTTCTTGCTCTCACTGGAAAGAACAAAGGCAGCTTTGTAAATATTTACGAAGGAGGCTGAGAGGGGCATCATCTACCTAAAGCAAATAAATCATCCACTGACACTTGCACCCTAGTCTTCACATTTGTAATATGCAGACACAGTATTTAAATAAACTGAACCAATACAACTGGCAGCATGGGACCCTGCTCTTCCTTTCCCAAAATGACTGGATTTAAGGCTCCTTTCAAGCATTTGAACAGGTAGGAATTTTAATGAAGGTTTAGACCTGGCCGCACAGTCAGACATTAAAGGAACACAGTCCAGAAAGGTTTAGTGTAGCTGCTGTGTGGAACTGTACAGCCATCATGGTACTTCAGAGCCAAAAACCAAAGTAAGTTCATGGCAAAAGATAAAAGTAAAGAAATAGACACAGAGGTCTGTGAAAACATCTCCCATTTTGCTGTAGGTGTCCATGGAGCGACTGATCACTTCTGCAGGGATCCCAGACAGCAGGAGAGCAGCAGTCAGGACTGTCGTTTTCACCTTCTTCTCACACTAAAAGGGATAAAAACACAGTATCATGTTAGCCCTCCTAATCCAATTCTGCTTTACATGTCTCCAACGTTGTGCCAATTTCACACGCTCCAAATTCACTGGTAAGAGCAGCAGGTTTGGATTGATTCTCTCCAGACACACTGGGGGATTCACAGCACTTATCCCAGACACAGATTCCCGCTGTGCTGGATCCCCCGGAGCTGAGAGAGAGGCTGGAGAACAGCAGAGCAAATTGATCCCAGATATTCTGCCTCCAAGCAGGCTGAGATGTGGGGCTGGGCAGGAGTGGGAAGATTCCCAGACAGGGGCAATCTGGGTGTAAGAAGCCAAGCCTGGCATCTCCAGCGGGAGAACTGGATTAATCTCGTTACACTACTTGGCAAAAAATAGAACACAGAAAGCTTTGGGTTGGAAGGGACTTCATCAAAGCTCATCTCGTTCCAGCCCCCCCTGCCACGGGCAGGGACACCCTCCACTAGCCCAGGCTGCTCCAAGCCCCATCAATACTGTTGGTTTTCTAACAGAAAAATTATTTAGAATTGAAAACCCAACTGTTTCTATTTCAGTACAACTTAATTTGGAAGTTTTATCCTCTGAACTCAGAAATGCCCCAAAACCTTTTGAAAGCTGTTCCATCCTTAAGATGAAGAATCCCAAGAATGCAAAATCTAACAGGCAGGAAAAGGTGACAGTGGCTGAAAATTGATATTTGCTGGACATCTTAATTTAATCCAATCTAAATTAAGCTTTCAAGAGTATTTCTATGTTTCATGAGAGAAAAATGAAGGATAACAAACAGATTGACCTCATGCAGTAAAGTGCAGTCAAAGCATGTTGTGGAAAGGAAACCCCTCTTTAAATTCTGAAACTCAAGAGCTGATTTTAAATACAGCAGGAACAAGATCAAGAAGATGTAGGTGATGAGCTGGTGCAAATCTAAGTCTAATTCTGCTGTTTTGTGTTGTGACACATCGGCTTAGAATGACTATTATGATATACTTAACTACAAAAGAACTGCTGATTTATTCTGATTTCCTACAGGTAATGTATAATTCCTTTTAAAATGTAAATTTTCCCTTTTAACTCTGGACTGAACATCATTCAATCCCACTCTGCAGCACAAACCTGACAAAATCATCAACCTAACAAATACTTCAGCACAATTACCCTGTGTAAATATATAAATCAAGTGATAGAGCAAATCTAGCTAATGAGCAGCAAGTTTCACACACAAATAAATGTCTCATTTCAAGCTGCCATTCAACCTGATAGCAGCAATAGAATGCAGGGCCCTTAAAACCCACGTTCTGCCTCATTCTTTAGCAAACACACTCCCAAATTTCATCCAGATATTACATGCAGAACAGCTGCTGACAAAGCAAACAGTAACCAGAGAAGAGCGTGGTCTAGGAAAAAAGCAAATTTCCTGAAGACATGAAAGAACTACCTGGATTTCCTGGTCAGATGCTTTTAATTAGGCTATAGCTAAACAAGCTGCTAGTCCATGTTTTCACAGAAACTTTTAAAAAAAAGATTTGGACTAAATCTGGAAAGATTAAAAATTAGTATAAACCATCAGCACTGGTAATACAACTCTAGAGGTTAAAACAAGAGAACAATACTTCACATGCATTGGTCCCAAAAACAACATAATCTAAACACAAGTTTAAATTTAAAACACTTCAAATTAATTCTAAAAAAAAAAAACCCTTACCTTTGGAAAGTACTTGGACAGCCCCATGTAAGCGAGTTGTAGAGTAAGAAATGGTGCAAATATTGACTGAAGGAAAAGAATATACAAAAATTAACTTGGTCAGAAGTAATAGCTGAGAAACACAGAAATGTAATGCTTCCTAAGTCATAAAAAAAAACTAGTAGGTAAAAAATAATTTGTGGAACACAGCAACAGTATTCTTGAATACTGCAAAACTAAGTAGACAACATGACAAAACCAAGGTTCTGCTCTATTTGGAGCCTAAAACCCTTAAATCACAGAAGTGAACAGCAGTGAGTGACACTGAGCCCAGGGATCCAGGAGGTGGCAGGTTGTGCCTGCCACACGTCTCTGTGCTGTTCTGCAGGCACCAGGAATACTGAGAATTACTGTTCTCAGAGTGATAAATGAGTAGGATTTACTTATCTTGGGACAACTGTTACTGTTCCTCGAACCATTGAGCGATTGGGGTTGGAAGGACGTTAAAGACCACCTCATTCCAACTCCCTGAAGGGCAGGGACACCTTCCACTAGACCAGGTTGCTCCAAGCCCTGTCCAACCTGGTATCAAATACCTCCAGGGATGGGCACTCTATTCTTACTCCCTTATTCTTTTATACACTCCAAACTAGAGGAGCAGCTGACTCATATGTTTACAAAGACAGGAATAAATTTGCAGGGGACTTTAAGTCCATCACCTGCTCCAGTGCATCTGCCCTCAAACACCACGGACCAAACACGTGCTGCTCTCAGTGGTTACACAGTGGCTGTGTGGAAATGTGAAGAGTGCCTGAAGCTCCCAACTGGGTCACTACCAACAGACTTCAGCCCCAGATGAAAGGTGTTCCACAATAAAGTTGCACCAACAGAGCAGGACCGTTCCCCTGCACTCACCAGGTACTTGCACACAAAAGCCCTGACCGCGACGGCGAGCAGAGCACATCCCACCAGCCGGAAAATGCGGAAAGAGTCAAACTCCTCCCCGGCATTCCCGTTCTCCTGGCTCGGCTTCTCGCTCATCAGCTGGTTCCTCAGCTTCAGAGCCTCGTCAAACCTGGACAGGTACTGCTCCAGCCCGTGCCTGGCTGGCCGTGGCGCAGCCTCGGGGGGCAGGTCGGGGCGGTGCCGGTGGCGCAGCTCCCCCGTGCCCTCGGTGACCAGCTCGGGGGCTTTGCCGAACAAGTCCTTGTCCCCCCGCAGCTCTGCCAGGCTCCCCGCGTGGTCAGCAGGGCCCGGCACGCCGCACACGGAATCTCCGAGCACGATTCGCTTGGAAACCGAAGGAATGGGGAGGGAGTTGGATTTATCCTGCTCGTGCTGCAGCTTTGACTCCGGGTGACCGTCGTCATCTGAAGGAGAGAAACAGAAA